TAACCTAGATGCACAAAACAATGGAAAGGGCTGCATAAGGCAAAAATAAAACTCTTACTAAGGAGGCTATAGTCAACCATGACCTGCCCAGGTGGGAATTTATAATCAGATCACACTGTGAAGTTACTTTAGGCCACTGCTGAGTTTCTCTGATTTATTACATAGCCCTCTTTTTGTTCATACAGTCAACAGCAGACTACTTACACAATGGTGGTCCCATAGGATTAAAATGGAGCTGAAAAATTCCTATCACCTAGTAATGTCATGGCCATGTTAAAGTCACTCCATAATGCGATATACAAGTTGCCTACAGTATTCAGTATAGTAACACACAATACAAATTTGGATCTTAGAAGATGCAAGGGGACAAAATTTATCAGCCCAAAATATTTCTATTTGATGTAAAGATTATTTGGGACTGGTTAATTAATTAATTAATTTTAAATATATATATATATATATATATATATATATATATATTGATTTTTAGAGAGAGAGGAAGGAAGAGGGAGAGATAGAAACATCAATGATGAGATAGAATCATTGATTTGCTGCCTCCTGCACACCCCCTACTGGGAATTGAGCCAGCAACCTGGGCACATGCCCTTGACTGGAATTGAACCCAGGACCCTTCATTCTGCAGGCCGACGCTCTATCCACTGAACTAAACCAGCTATGGCTGGGCTGGTTAATTTATAAAAAGAACAGACATGGGAGAAACTCTGAAAATCAAATAGAAGTTACCCTTTGTAAGAGAAGAGAGGAATTATGTTTTCTCTAGGAACTCCTACCAAAGCAGAAGACAGCTTCCAGTTAAATCTGCGTAACAACCTCACCCTTGCTTGCTATGCCTTTCCTGGTAACCCCCATAACTGATTTCCTCCGCCTCCAGCATCTTTTGTCTTCAGCTGGAGATGTCATTTAAGGTATTGCTTTAGTCATTTTGGTAAGTTACTCAGCTTTTCTAGGTCTTTCCAGGTTTACAGGATATAAATATTGTATGTTATACGTGCTATTAGATTAGACTTCTTTTTTTCTCCTGTTAACCCATGTTTTAACCCATGGGATAACCAAGAACCCAGAAGGGAAAGTTATTTTTCATCCCTTACAGAGAAATAGGCTACACAGTAAAGCTTCAGTGTGTAGTAGGCTACACCATCTACATTTGCATAAGTGTACTCTCATGTTTGCACAACAATGAAATTGCCTAATGGCACATTTTTCATAATGTACCCATTGGTAAGCAGTGCATGACTGTTTATATTACATGTTACATCATTTATTAAAATGCTAAAAATTGAATTTCAATGTTAAATGTCGAACTTCTTACAAATAAATTGAAATAATGTTATCAATATTTATGAAAGTCCTCATCTGTGGGTACTGATGCTAATGCAGAAAAAAAAAGACCAGATGTCCTAAGGTCAGTCTCCAGGTTTGAACAGATACACTGCAGAGATTGGGGTCTTTTCCTACTTGTGCCTCAAATCCTTACCATCTGCAGACTTATACTTGAGATATTTGCATAAAGGAGTAAAATCCCTACATCTACAGTAATATTTGCCATGGTAATGCCCTGGGAGACATAGCACAACAATTCATATGTGCACCAAGCTTCAAAACACCTTAAAGAGAATTTTCTAATGGGGGAAGAAGAGAATTTAAAGGGTAAGCAGAGAATGGATAAATGCAAAGGCAGCCCACGGGTATGCAGAGCAAGCATGGTTTCTTTAGGGTCAGACACCCCTGTTAAGAGTGCAGATTGCAGTTCTGCCTATTAAGTGTCTGAATGCTCTACTTCAGCAGCCTGGGCTTCAAGTTCTTCATCTGAAAATGAGGACATAATTGTTATAGAATAGTAAGAAACTAGGAAAATTCCAGGACAATCAGAATAGGGAAACTAAGACAGATAGTTAAACAGCATTTTGTAGTCACCTAGTAAATCCTATCTTCCCTAAACCAATGGCACTTAAGAGTAAATGGTTAGCTCTTCTCCTTCCCAACCAGAAGGTAAATAGCTAAACACTCAGGGAGACAGATAACCAAAATTCAATTAGGTGCCTTTTGCCAACCACATCCAAGGACAGATAAATTAAGAAAATAAATCTCATTTTGGTACATGGGCATAAAGCTGATGGATATTCTATTTTTCACCCCTAAGATCTGTCCTAAACACCCAATCTTTAAAACCCCTGAAAATGAAGGTCCCAGGGTGTTCTCTCACTCTTTCTCCTGGGAGCACTCCCATCCCATTCCCTTCCTTCTGTCCTTTCCCAACAGGCATGCTTCCCCAGCCTCTAAGAGACCCCATAAAACTTGCAACCAGGGGAGCAATGGGCAGCAGTAGCTGGTCCCGGACTAACCCCCTAGACCTGTCTCCAAGGCCCCCTATTCTCTGACTTCCCAGTGAGGTAAGGTAGCCCAGCCTCAGCTCTCCTATTGCTTCTACGCCCTTCTTTGTTTCACTGTTCTAAGTACATTTTTGCTGTGGTCAATAAATTCTTGCTTGCTTTTCTACACTTTGTCTCTTGATTGAAATATTTTCCTCAAGAAGTCAGGAACTCAGGGTTCCTTATCTCACCGATAATAATAATAGTACTTAATTCATAGTCGTGTTTGGAGGGTAAATGAGTTGATGTGTGTGTAAAGTACTTGGAACAATGCCTGTCATGCATCAAGTACTGCAAAGTTATTAGATGCTATTGTTGAAAGGGTTAGCTTGAAATGCAGGCAGCTAGGGCATGGGTCCAGTGGAAAACAAAGGCAGGTGGAACATAGGCAAGGACAGATACAGCAGTTTGAGCAGCCTAATCACAGGAACCAATCAAGTAGAAATAATAAAGTGTTTCTGGACTTAAAGCAGGAGGTGTGAGAAACCAAGAGAGAGCCTGCAGTAAACAAGGTAAGGCAGCCCAGCCTAGGCTCTCCTATTGCTTCTATGCCCTTCTTTGTTTACAAACACATACACAGAAGCAGAAAAAATTCAGCATAGGAACATAATAACAACACATAGAAACAGGGAAAGCTTAGGTCCACTGCTAGGCAAAAACAATTGAGGGGATCAATTAGATAGACATATTAATAGAACAGTCTTGTAGGAGATATATACCCTTGGACTACGAGACTTTTTAATGCGCAGCCCAGTATTGGGTCCCCCTCCCTTGTGGGGAGTCTGAATCTGCTTGTAATAAATTTTCCACACTTTGGTCCGAAGAGCTCATTCTTTGGCATCGTGAGACACCAAATTATTCCTTCCTTTAGGAATATATCTGGAAAATATCTGGTCTCGCCATTCCATTGATCATTGTTATTTGGAATTTTAACCTAGGCCATGGAATTGTGTACAGTTTTATGTCACCCATTTCCCAGATCACCTCTCTTTTGGAACTGTTTACAGTACAGACCCTTTATTGCTAGTTCAGATTTGCTCTACGCCCATATGCAGTGTCTAATATTTGGGATCCTATGACTGACTCTTGGATAGTGGCTTCGTTTGGTTTTGTCCTACATGTACAGCCTAAAGTTTCTTTTTTTTTTAAATTTTTATTGATTTCAGAGAGGAAGAGAGCTATAGAAACACCAATGATGAGAGAGAATCATTGATTGGCTGCCTCCTGCACACCCTCTACTGGGGATTGAGCCTGCAACCCTAGTATGTGCCCTTGACCGAATCAAACCTTGGACCCTTCAGTCTGCAGACTGACACTCTATCCACAGAGCCAAACCAGCTAGGGCAGTGGTCAGCAAACTCATTAGTCAACAGAGCCAAATATCAACAGTACAACAATTGAAATTTCTTTTGAGAGCCAAATTTTTTAAATTTAAACTTCTTCTACTGCCACTTCCCCAGGCAATGGTATTTTATGGAAGAGCCCCACTCAAGGGGCCAAAGAGCCATATGTGGCTCATGAGCCGCAGTTTGCCGACCACGGAGCTAGGGCATGCCTGAAGTTCTTTCTCCCAGACTTCTAAACCCTGGTTGAATTGTTGTATAGCACCAACTACATACTTACATAACTGTGTTGAGAATATTTCCCTTAGGGATTTGCTTAGAACCCTCTTAGTGAGTTGCTCAGGGAAACAAGCTGGTGATGACACAAGGTTTCCCACTTTCAGCTCTCTCTCAGGTCCTTTCCATCCAGCTTGAGGCAGAATTCAGTTCTTCAAACTGCCCAGCCTGAGCATATTTTCCTTCTCCCCAAGGAAATGTCTACACTTAGTTATGATGGGGTCATGGGCACACTCTTTGGCCTATTTATGCTTCTTTAGCCACAGATGACTTGCTATGCTTCTGTTCTCCCAGGGTATAAAAAAACCATGCAAATAAAAGTGTCTGGGACAGCCTTGGGCAACCCTTGGTTCTTCAGGGAATATGCACAAAATTAAAAAACAAAAACAAAAAACTCTTGGAAATGCTCTCTGGAGGTCCAACTGTTTTTTTTTTTTCAGATTTCATGAGGCTTCAGAGACCTAAGGAGCAAGATTACAATGCCTTTTCCTTTTTTACTTACCTCCTTTCAAGTCCTAAGCATGCCCATAATCTCTCCCTCCTGGTTTACCAACCTGCCCCTTATTCTCTCAAAATATATTATTGCAACTTCCTTGTTCTGCTCAAATGAAAAGGAAAGAAGAGAGAATGCAATCCTGACAGGATTTCATCAGTTTAGCTGCACTTCTCAGTAAGTCACTTAACCACGCCCCGTCCCAGCCTGATAGGGCAAAGTGCAGCTCTTGAATTGATTCGACCTTGCCTGTATGCAAGTCTGCACTCTACCTGTTATCTAATCGGGCCATCTGAAAATACACAATAATCCTGTCACAAAGTTTATCAGGAGGGAACCTGTGAGGGAAGCAAAATCCAATCTTGTTGGAACTCTCAACCGGAGGGGTGTGTTTTACAGCTCCCCCGCCTGCTGCTGGATTTCAGCTCTTACCCAACACGAGGACTACCGTGGAAAGCCAGCCACTTCAGACGTTCAGTTTCTCAGCCAGAGTAAGCCATGACGAGGACTTCTATATGCGTATACCACTTCCTTGTTTCGAGCTGGTATATTTTCCTCAATTATCACATCTCACAAAAAGGAAGGAGTAAGCAGATGTCCAAAATCTTTCTAAATGGTGGACAGTGGAAGTACTTGACACTCCTTAATCTGGTAAGTCTCTATGACCATTTCAGGGAGCAATCTACAGTACTTATCTACAGTAAAGTATATCACCTTTAAATTTTATTAAGTACAAAATCCCATTATTCCTCTTCCTTCTTCTTTGCTTTTGAGTTTCGGCTTTCTCTTTTACCTAACAGTTTGCTCTGAGACAATCAATTTAGAACTCACCCAGAGCTGCATTTTGTGCTGGCTAATTGTTAAATGCTTTTTTTGAAAAGACTTCTCTTGGGGCTGTTCTCAATTGACCCCAAATAGAGGGCTAGATTGACTTCAAATGCAAGAGGGATTTTGAACTTTATTTGGGGATTTCTGCAAGGAAGGCAGAATGACATATGTTGCACAGGAAGTGGAATTTTCAATGGAGGAAAATGCCATTTTACAGCACACGCAGACTAACAGATTTATCTGAGAAAAGCAAACATATCAGATCCCACTACAATTTTTTATAGGCTCAAGGCTCTATCTTAAAGGATAAAATCACTCAACCAAATAACAAATACAGATTTTCAATTATTTACAAACCAGTCATATGACTTGATCCCTTCTTGTCTCTCTAGCCCTGCTCACCTCATTCTGATGAATGAAGTGTGAGTGAATGGGAGAAAAACAGACTTTTAAAAAATATTTTGGAAACATCTAAAAAATATTTTTAGAGTTAAAAGCTAAAATTGGCACATCTTTTGGAAATGCTAATTAATATTTGATATTTTTAACTAAAATGTAGAGTGCCAATGTCAACATCTGATTTCAGAAACTGGACAAAGCATGCCAATCCTTTGGAATCATACTCCTAAGCAGAAGTTATATGTGGTCAAAAAACAGTGACACTCTGAAATGTTAAGGATTGGAAATTCAGAAAGTTCAAATCAAACAAGCCTGGAGGTTCTGCTTCTCCTTCTCTGGTCAATTGCTGGACTTTGATTTTGGCCTGAAAAATTCGAGGCCTGAACACAGCTTTAATGTTCTTGAAAACATCAAGGTGACAGTTTATTTCAATCCTAGAAAACAACAACAAAAGAAATGCTTTTGTGGAGCTAAAATAATACAGTAAAAATCTCAACTTTGTGTATTTGTTGACTTTATATTAAAAACTAGAGGCCCAGTGCATGAAATTCATGCATGGAGGAGGAAGTTCCACAGCCCTACCTGCACCCTCTCAAATCTGGGACAACTGGCTCCTAAACACTCACCTGCCTGCCTGATTGCTCCTAACCACTCTGCCTGCCTGCCTGCCTAATTGCCCCTAACTACCCTTCTCTGCTGGCCTGATATTGACCCCAATTGCCCTCCCCTGCCAGCCTTATCACTCCTAACTGCCTCTACCTCGGCCCCCACCACCATAGCTTTATCCTGAAGGAAGTCGGACATCTGGAAGATGGCCGGTAGACCTGGTCTAATTAGCATATTACCCTTTTAATAGTATAGATAGATTATATAGGATAGAATTGCTTAAATAGGCAAGGGGGGAGCCTTTTTCAGCAGGAGGAGATGCTCTTGACAGACAAAAACACATAATCCCTATATCTGAACTGATAGCCAGCCATATGCACTATACTGCCAAACTGGTCATTAAAAAATTAAACCACTTTCTTACACCTACATGGAACAGCTGTTGCCCTTAAAACCCCTCCTCACCCCCCACTTTAGGTTCTGCTTTTGCAGTTCACCCAAATTAGGTTCTGATTGTTTGGTTTCTATGGCAGTCAGCATCTTGGGGCCTATCTCCAGGTCTGATTATAGAGGCAAGGCTGATCAGAAGCCGCTTCAGGCTACTGGCAAGTGGGCTGAACTGTTGACCTCTGGGAGAGAGAGAGAAGCTTGGCTGCTGGCGAGGCCTGGAGAGAGAAGCAGGGTCTGATCACCCTGCTCCTCTCTTGGGCTCACCAGCAGCCACTGCCACTGCTGATCAGCCCTGTATCTCTCTCTCTCTGAGAGGTCAGCAGTTCAGCCTGCTCACCAGCTGTGGTGCAGCCTGGCATTTGGTCAAGCCCTGGTCATTTTGAATGTTAAGATCCTGGCTGTTTATATATGTAGATGGTCAACAAAAAAAGAGGTGTGTCTGTAGCCAGAATTAATGATCAAATCAAATCCAATTTCCAGTGTCCCACCTCACGGTAAGCATGGCTAAGAATAGATTTATCACCTACTCCCACAAACCAGCTCCCTGGCTTCTTAATTCTACCTTGGTTGCATGCCCCAGAGCCCCCACATTTCTAAAAATGGGGAGGGAAAAAACACACTTATTTTCCAGACATGATTTTTTTTCCTGGTGTTAATCCCCTTTTTGTTTCCCTAACTAATTAGCCACTGAATCCTATGTTTTTCATTTTCCTCAGTTTTTCTATCTCTCTCAAGATATAGGCTCTTATTACCTGGGTGACCAGATCATCTGATTGTCCTCCTGTTATCAAACCATCCATCTACCACTCAGATTCCAGATTAATCTTTCTAAAGTGCTATTTTTGTTTTTTTGGTTTTGTTTTTTGTTGTTGTTGTTGTTTTGGGTGGGGTGGTTTTAAACATACTGTAAGCCTGCTTAAGAAGTGTGATCTGCTACTTAAGAAACTATACTAGCTCCCTTTGACCTTATGGAACCAATTTCAAATTCCTGATTTAAAAGCTCACTACCTCTTCCCACCAAATAAATAAAATAAAATGAAATAATAAAAGCTCACTATCCAGCATTCAGCCACCCTTTTCCCCCACTGCTTTCTTTCCCAGGAATGCCCATGTCTTCTCCATGGTTGGTCCCCAGGCTTCTTGCTATCATTTTCTACCCACTTTCACACAATCCTTCAGTGAAAGGCCTAACTCTCCTCCACTTTGTTACTTTCATAAGTCACCTGAAATCTCATATGCTCTTTAAAATCTCTACTGACTGACTCCAGTCCCAACTTGTTTTTACAGCATCTCTCAGTATCTGCTTATTTAAGTTTAGTATTGTTTTCTAATTTCCACCCATATGTGAGTCTTAATATTCCAGTCAAATTGTAAGTGGCTCCATAACAGAAATTTCGTTCCCTAGGTCCTTGCCAGTATTAACAGTCTATGATTCTAAGTAGTGTTTGCTACAATGGCCGGCACAGAGTATCTCCATAATAAAAGCTGGGTGACTTGATATGCTGACTGAACTTGACCCTCGCTTTTTCTGCATTCCTGAGCAATTAGTCTCTCCTGACGTCTTCTGGCCCTTGAAATGAGCAGAGAGGCTGACCTGTGGCTATTTTCCTTCTGAGCTCTATTAGATGTCATCTTGACAGTGTGACAATGTAAAGTTTTTCAGTTGGTGAAGATGGGTTGAATGTGTTTCAGAGGATCAATTGAAGGTTGGATTTCAAATATGTTATTTAAGGTAAAATCTTGAGCCTTAAAATTTCTAACTCTTGAGGTCTTGTGGTTGTGTTTCCTAAAGATTAATTAGTGTTAACTAATGGTTAATTAGTTAATGATTGTGCTTGTAAAGTTATTGAGGTCTCATAGCTTCCTATAACATTTTATTTTATTTTTAAAAATACTTTTTCCATATTTTATTTTATTTTATTAATTTTACACAGAGAGGAATTGAGAGGGATAGAGAGTTAGAAATGTCGATGAGAGAGAAACATCGACCAGCTGCCTTTTGCACACCCCTCACTGGGGATGTGCCTGCAACCAAGTATATGTGCACTTGACCAGAATCAAACCCAGAACCTTTCAGTCCACAGGCTGACGCTCTATCCACTGAGCCAAACCGGTTTTGGCTTCCTATAACATCTTAAAGTTTATTTTTTATAAGATTGTGGAAGTCTGCTTTCCAGGAAATTTACCCCCCTCTCCTCTAACTAGCTTTACTTTCTAATTGGCTAAATATCAGTTATGCCCATCACCCCCCTTTTTTTCAATCCTCACCCGAGAATATTTTCCCAATGATTTTTAGAGAGAGGGAAAGACAGAGAAAAATATCAACGTGAGAGAAACACATCAATTGGTTGCTTCCAGCGTGCACTAATACCAGGGCCCGATTGTGGGAGAAGCCTGCAACTGGGGTACCTGCCCTTGACTGGAATCAAACCAGGGACCCTTCAATCTGCAGGCCAATGCTCTATGCATTGAGCCAAGCTGGCTAGGGCAGGTATGCCTGGTTTTAAGAGCAAAGTCCATATTAGTGGAAGTCAGCATTCCGAGTGTCTCTAGTTCCCTCCTGGAGCTATTCCAGGGGACTCAAAGGAAAGAAACAGGATTGGTGGCAGGCACAGGGGTAAGTTGAGGTGCGAGGGAGTGCCACTGAAAATTGGTCATGGTGACCAGTTCATGCCTAGTGCCTAAGGAGAGTAAAGAAAGAGAGGGGAGACAGAGTCTCTGCCTAATGAGGGAGTACAGTGACTCCTGGAAAGAGGTAGCCAATTCTCTCTTGGGAGGGAGAGGCAGTGTTGCCTAATGGTTACAAGCAGAGTTTTAGGTCATGAGCTCTCTGGGATGTACTTCAGTTTTACCACCTACTAGCTCTGTGTCCCTGAGCTAGGTATTTCTTTGTATCTTCATTTCTAAATCTGTCAAATAGGAATAAAAATAATTCATAATCACAAAGTGACCATACGGGATAAATAAGATGGCATGTGGGAAGCACTCAGAACGATGTAAGCAGTGGGTAAGGGAGAGAGAAGATGGAAGGGTGGTGGTGAGCTTCTAGTCATCTCATCTTTGAGTAGAGGTGCAAGAGGGAAGGATGCTTTAGTGGAACATGGGTCCCCTCACTGAGCACCATGTTGGGTGGGTTAGTTTCTAGGCAAGGATCATGCCTCATTGCTCAATACCGCCCTCTGCAGGTTGCAGGCTCCGGCTCTTCAGGGAGCCCTGCTTTTCCTGCTGCAGCTGCCAGGTGGAGGCCCCACTGGGACAGTCTGGAGGTTGAGTTTGCAGGCTCCAGCAGGCAGCGATGACTGGTGCTAAATGGGGAAGTTCCCAAAGCTGGGCATGGAAACAAAGCCGTGCTGTGCTGAGGACACCCT